AGAGAAATGGATGCAAACCTAGCCTTGTATGCTCTCACCAAAAACACAAGAAAAAATAAGATGCTGCAGAGAGAATTTTACATTAAGACCCATATGGCCGCAATCTGGATTTTTCCATTAGCTTTACTCTACTTGCCTTGTCACATATATATTCGTCTATGTATTCCTGTATCCCATCAATTGGTCTGGGTTTTTCAAATGCAGTTCAAAGAGTTCTTTATCGTCATCCTGGTCCCATTCCCTGTCTGCTTTGTTTTCTTCCTTAAGTACTTGCCTTTTGAGTTTCTCAGGAGTGCCTCTGGATAAGCAGAAGTTTTTCACTTTTATGAAGGTAATGCCCATCCTCTTGGAGTTGCTTTTTCAGATTTATTTTGGAAGAAATAGAGCTTACTAGGTTCCCATAGCAATAATCATAATAATTCTTTTCTAACTATCAAACATTTTAGCCTACTCAATTATTTTACTCATGTTATCCAAGTTCTTTTCACCATTTCAATACAGGCTTCATACAAGAAGAAAAGTGTACCTTAAATAGGTTTTTTCCCCCAACCATAAGAGTAAATATTTTATATGCATATCTTTCCGTAGCATTTTGTTTTGCATATGGTAGACATACTACATATATACAAATGCCTGATAGGCAGCCATGAATTGCATAATGTTCCTATTGTTTAGGTATAACTCTTCCATGAAACCTTAAATGTAAACAGTTCTTGACAGTTATTTGTTTTGCTTTTAGGAATACTAAATCTGAAGTGTGCTGTGTACCATTCAAAGCACTGTTTATGTGTTCTGAAAACCAAATTGTCAGAGAAGCTAGTTACCTCATGTTAGCAAACCGTACACCATAACTTGTTTTTAATACTCCAGTGGGAAGCTGTTATTTATGTTCTGACCTCCAAGTATTTAGAAGAATATACTTTTAAGTAAAAGTATGACCATTTTACATTCCATTGAAGATATTAGAAGAACATGAAGTTTCCTCTAGCTCAAAAGTGATTTAGTTATAAAAAATATTTTGTTGATTAAAAAATACTTAGGTTCTATTGCCTTGTTCATTTCTAGGCCTGGGTTAGTATAATATTTTCTGAACATTCGTTTGGAAATACAAACTAGAGAATACATACAAGTTTTTGACCATTTAAAAAAATAACCTTTTCCAACAGAAAGATGTATTTCAACTTAAAGACATGGAGAAGATTGCCCCCAAAGAGAAAGGCATTAGTAAGTATCCAATTGTGATTTTGGAGAAATGTTCGTCTTTTTGCCACAGCTCTTTATGGAGAAATTAAATATCTAGCAGTGAAGATTGTTTTTCAGAGGCTCTGAAAACTATCTGTGGGCCATAGCCACAATTCTTTGTTTGGAATGTCTGTTCTAGGAAAACTTAAATGGGTTATACGCACACATATGCACACTATATGCACATTTACTTACTTATTTGTGGATATATTTTACTTCAATAGAAGCAAAAATTGCTCATAAATGTAGTCTTTGTCCAATGCGACTGTTGGATTTTTACATGGTGTATTCGTTTTCTGAGGCTGCTGCTTCACCACGTTTGGTGGATTAAAACAACACATTTATTCTCTCATTTTTTGGAGTCTGAAAGCAGGAAATCAAAATGTGGGCAGGACTAGTCCCTCTGAAAGCTCTGAGGGAGAATCTGTTCTCTGCTTTCCTTGGTTCGTAGAGACAGCACTCCCACCTGTCTTCTACTCTGGGTCTTGTGTAGCACTTAGATTCCCAGTGATATTATCATTAGACTGTACAACACACAAGTACATTTTCCAAAGAAGGTCACCTTCACAGCTCAGGAAGTTAGGACTTGGGTATTCTTTTTACAAACCATTATTCTTTTTTTTTAAATCATTTTATTAGGGGCTCATACAACTCATCACAATCCATACACACATCAATTGTGTAAAGTGCATTTGTACATTCATTGCCCTCATCATTCTCAAAACATTTTCTCTCCACTTAAACCCCCGGCATTAGGTCCTCATTTTCCCCCTCCCTCCCCGCTCCCCCCTTACTCGTGAGCCCTTGAGAGTTTATAAATTATTATTTTGTCATATCTTGCCCTGTCCGACGTCTCCCTTCACCCACTTTTCTGTTGTCTGTCCCCCAGGGAGGAGGTCACATATAGTTCCTTGTAGCAAACCATCATTCAACCACTTCACCTAGTCTACTTATTTCTTTAAACTGTTCAGGTGATATGACTTATCTATTCTTATTTTAACAAATTTGCAAACTAGAATTTATAAAGAAAATAAAAATTGCTTACTGTCACTTTTCTGAGATATCCACTGTTAGCCTCTGATGCTTGTCTCAGTTAACTGTGTCAGTATGTATACATCTGTCCATCTCTGAGACGGGAGCCTGCTGTTTACAAAATTTTGTATGGTTTTAGGTCTATGTGGTTTTTTTTATATAAAGTTATATCTATATTGCTCACACGATTTGGGTTTTAAAAAGGAAACCGCCCACAGCATGTGTATTTCTTAATATCGTACTCTGTGACATCCTTCCTTCACCTAGGGTTGAGCATTTCATTTGGTTCCATAGTTGTCTGCTCACCATAATGTTTTGATTAGCATGACGTCCATAAATGTCTGTCGGCATCTTGAATTACTTCATTAGGAAATGTCCCTAAAAATAGACTGGAGAACAGAGGTTGGTATAGTTGTTAGGTTGTCTAGATGTATTCTTAATTTCCTGCCTGAGAATCCTACTAGCCAGTTCCATCAAGTCAGCTCCAACCCTGAGCAATCCCCTGGGTTTTGGAGTAAAACCCTGCTCCGTGGACCTTGGATGGCTGCTTTCACTTAGCAGCCCAGCGCTTGAACTGCAGACCCCTCTTTCCAGAATGGGTCTACCAATAGATATTCACACATACTTGTTGAGACTGGATGTTTTCAATTTCAGAATTCTATGGAATGCAATAGATGAAGAGTTGGCATCTTATTTTTGTTTCTGCTGCTTTACAAGTGGCCTTGAATGTTTTTTGCTTCGATCTTAGTTTTATTTATTAAGTTCATTTTTTTCAAAAAGACTTTTGTTATATTTGGGGGCATTTTAGTCTAGGAAAAATGAAAATGGACATTAGGGTTTTAAAATTTCACATTATTTCTTAAAAGTTAATTTTTTTTTTTGCTTTGCTTTTGTTTGTTTGTTTTGAAGTTAAATCTTTAAAAACTTTTTCCTGATACCCCTATGCTTGGCATCCAGTTTATTTATTGTTGACTCTCTTGTAGTACTTTTAGTTTTCTTAATAAAGGTAATACATGTTCATTGTTTAAAAAGATGAAAGAAATGAACAAAAAGAAGGAAATTAAGTTAAAGCCAAAGATAGTAAGAAAACAAGTGAATACTGTTTTTGAACTTTATGATAAAATTTTAACATATTTCCATGCCACTAAATATTCTTTAGTACCATAAATTTAACAATTACATAGTATTCAATTACAATAATAGGCTTTGTAAAAATCCAGTTATTGGGTTGGTTTGTTTGGTTTTTGCTATAGAAAAGTGTTTTGACAATCATTCTTGTTTATATCAAGCATTATTTTCTTTAGCTGAGTACATAAAAGTAGAATTTCTACATTCAAAAGTGTGCATATTTATATTTCTAAAGTTTTATTTACATGCTGCCAAACTTCTCCTCTCCTTTTGAAAGTATTTGAACACGAATCCTGTAGTATGAATCCCAGTGTTTTTCAATTTGGTGGTCAAGAAATCTGATCTGATTGTTTTATTTTGCATTTATTTGATTAGTAGAGGGGTTGAACATCTTCCTCATTTATTAACCACATGTGTTAGTTCAGGTAGACTAGAGAAATTCATAGACATTCATGTGTATAAAAAAGAGGTTTATTTACAAGAGCAATTGAATACTGAGAAAATATCCCAGCCCAGCCGATATCAACTCCATAAGTATGATAGTAGGCCTTATGTCCGATACCAATCTGTAAAGTCCTCTTCTGACTCTGAAACACATTCAGTGACGCCGAATGCAGGAAGATCACAGGCCAGTGGGTGGGAAGTCTTGTAGATCCATTGGCACTGTAAGGAGTCTGGCAGCACGGGCAGGAGTCTCCACGTGGCTTCTCCAGCTCAGGGCACTAACGTATGTACACGTGTCTTGTCAGCTGCTCTGTCTCCCAGGGTGAGCAGGAGAAGAATGTCTCCACTTCCAAAGAGGAATACAAGAGTTCCCAGAATCCTCAGGAGAAGGCCATGCCCACACATAGGCTTCATTGACTTTGACCTGATTGACAGCTTAGACTCCACCCCTTCACTCTTAATCCTCTAATTGATACCAGATTATATAACTACTACCCCACACATATGTATTTTGTAAATGCCCATGGATATCTTTGGATTGTTTCTCGTTGACAAAATTGCATTTTTATCCTCACTTTTTATTTCTATGAGCCCCTTTAATTTATTAGTTTTTGCTCTGTGGTAGTTTTTACAAGTGTTTCCTCATTATTTGCCGTTTAGTTTTATTTCTGGCGTTTCTTAACTTGACATCTCTTGAAATTATCTCCCTTAGCGGCTATGTCAGTAAAAGAAGTCCTCCAGAGCTTAGTGGATGATGGTATGGTCGACTGTGAGAGGATTGGAACATCTAATTACTATTGGGCCTTTCCCAGTAAAGCTCTTCATGCAAGGAAGCGCAAACTGGAGATTCTGGAATCTCAGGTAAGCTGCTGCCATGAAAAAAATCGATTTTCATTGTAGCAAAAAAGATGTGTTTGACTTAAACTCCTTTTTGTGTAGTAGTTTCTCTTAAATTTTTAATATGCATTCTTTGACTCAAAGTCTAAAGATTAAAGATAATCAGTATCTCTGCCCTTCACCCAGATAATATGAGGATCTTAGAATGGTAGAAGTTTTTCATTTTCCTACCTGCCATGATAACTGTTTTCTAATAGTTTCGTTCCATCTTGTTTTTAACTCCCTCCCCCATTAGTCGTTATTTTTATTCCTTCTTTTGATACATTAGATTTCCTGCCATCTACCCTGTCCTGTAGAGTCGCTCTGAGTCAGGGGCAGCAATGCCAGGCAGTGCGTTTAGTTTGGGTTGGTCATCGCTCGTATCACAACTGGGCTCTGTTGCCTTCTGCTTCATAGGGCCCTAACCTGCCCATATTCTCCTTGGAGTTTTCCGCTTAAAGAGTTCCACTCTGACCTGTAGTTTCCAAGACTTGAATCTTTAGGAAAGCAGGTAACCACATCACAAGGCTGGATATATGGTACACCACCCCCCAGGGGGATAAATAACAGAAATGTGGGTGTAAGATGGTGTAAGATACGAAGTAACAATAATAACATAATTGATGATGCATTCATGAGGGAGGGAGGGAGAAGAGAAGCTGATAGCAAAGGCTCAAGTAGTTTTGGAAATGATGATGGCAACATATGTACAAGTGTGCTTAATACAATCGAATGATGGATTGCTAAAAGATTTGTAAGAGTCCCCCCCAATAAAATGATTAACAAAAAAAATTGTAAGCTATTCTAGCTGCATAGTGCTATTTGAAATGTTCACATATTTAAGTTCTTCGTGTGTTTATCCTTACACAGAACTTTACAAATATCTTTTGGTCAAGTGTCAGGATTCAATAAATGTAAATGACTTACAAAAAATAAAGTTACAGTCTTGGAAACTCACAAGGGCAGTTCTACCCTGTCTTACAGGATCACTATGAGCTGCCATCAACTCGATGGCAGTGAGTTTTGTTCCATTAATTTGGGGGCACATTTAGAGAGGGATATTGAAATCTCCGACAATAATAGTTGATTTGTCTATTTGTTTTTGTCTTAAACTGTCCAACGTCTCCCTTCACCCACTTTTCTGTTGTCCGTCCCCCAGGGAGGGTTATATGAAAATCCTTAAATTGACCTTCTTTAACCCAGGTAATATTCTTTGTTCTGAAATCTACTTTTTTGATATTAACCTAGGAGCTTCAGCTTTCCTATGATTGCTGTTAGCATGTTAGGTTTTTTCCCATCCTTTTACTTCTTTTTGTTTTTCTATCTATAAAATATTTCTTTTGGGGAATAGATAAAGAAGTTTCATAAAGTTCTTGAGAAATGGCATAAAAAGATAATGAATTTTTGCATAATTTTTTAAGGCCCCTTGGATAGTTGGCAAGCATTTATAGAAGTAAACAAGAAGTTCTTCCTCGAACCTAAAATTCAGCTTCATATCACTGTGTTTCTTCTGGTTAACTAAGGATAGGATATTCTAGTTTTCACTACTCTGGAACTCTGGGATTAAACTTGTATGATGAGGGGTTGACAACAAGGCCAAACCCTGAAGAGTCACCACATGAATTAGTTACTGTCAATATGCTCCTTGGAAAGTTGGCAGCCAGCGCATCTTGTGACACATTCCTGTGTCTCCCTCTCCGCTTACAAGCTGGAGGTCAAAGCTTAATTTCACACACCTGCTTTTAAGTCAGAGGTCAGGTTAAAGGTAAATATCGGCAGGAGGCCCTGTGTCCTAAACACTGGAGAGTAAATTAAAGAAGGGAACTAGGATAGCATCTGTAAAAGGTTGGCAGCCCTTGGAAGCTGCTATTAATAACTTTTTTTTCTAACTGGTGGGGGTGTGGGTGCTCAATGTTTTTTCACTGCCATTTCACTGACCTACGCCTACTATATTCTTTTATTGAAAGGGAGACAAGTCAGTAATACACTCTATTCAATCATGACTGTGAAGATTGCTTTTCATTTTAAAGAAGCAATATGGCTTAATGGAAGGAGAGAAGAAGAAAAAAATCCCTGCAATTGAGTTGATTCTGACTCATAGCAACCCTATAGGGCAGGTAGAACTGTCCCTGTGGGTTTCCAAGATGATACATTTTCATGAAAGTAGAAAGCCTCATCTTTCTCTTGAGCAGCTGGTGGTCCCAAGCTGCCAACTGTATAGCCTAACATAATCACTATGCCACCAGGGCTCCTAAGTAGTAAGAAATCAAACATGGATTGAAGTCACAACGCAACTTCCCACTTATTAAATATATCTATTCTTTGAAAGACTTAATTTCTTTAAACCTCAGTTTCCCAATTTATAAAAGAGATTATTCCAAAGAAATGTGGGGAGGATTAAGAGGTATACACATAGCCTTCTTGGTATATGTAGTGAAGAAACGCATGGAAGGCCTTATCTGGTCTCTGGCTTCCTTATTGCCACAAGGCAGTTAGAAATGCCCCCACCTTCCATCTCTACCCATTCTGACACCAACTGTCCCTCCCACAGCACACTATTAATATATTAGGTTTGATAAGTCATTGCAATGGCCACCCAGAACTCAGACAATAGTCACAATTAAAGACATCTGTTAGGAAAGTTAACGAGTTACCACAAGTCAGGATCAGTAAACCGTAAGGATACAATCATTGCCTCACAGCAACACCCCTCCTCAGCAAGTAGCCAAATGTCTCCACCCATCAGCCTCACAGCCACATGACCTCTTAGTCTCTGCCTCCATTGGCCAGGAAGCCAGCCCACTGTTCTGCCTCATAGTCTCAGCACTGCACCTCTGTTCTTTCACATGGTCTCCTTGTCTTGGCCTCTGGTCTCAACTGGGCATCTTTGCCCTCCCCTATGGCCTGCATACCACAGCCTCTGGTGCCTTTGGTATCTGCTTCGACCGCTTCCAGCAGGGATCTCACTGTGTTCCACTGGTGGCTCTTCTTCCGGTGGTCCTGGGACTTCTGTGTGTTCCCTTCTGAGATGGCTCATTCCTCTTTGGCGGTGTAGTTTTTGTCTTTTAGTAGATAATAACCCCAAGGAACAAAGGGTGGTGACTTTTAGTTCACATCCTCTACTGTAGTGGAGACTTATCCCACCTTAATCTCTATCCATTAGCAAAACATAGAACTCCCTCAAAAATAACTATAGGCAGAAGCTAAAATTATAAAAATCTCATAAGAAATAATGGTTTGAAGGGCCATATTAAGTGACTACCTCCACATAGTTTCTGTGGTAGCCCTAAATTCAACATAATCAGCACTAACCCCAGGGCATATTTTGTAAACGTATTTGTTTGGTTGAAGTAAGTGTTTGAGGGCTGTGTGCTAAACATTTTATCAGATTATGAAATGTAAAGTTATGAGATAATAAATACAAATTTAATTTTAAATTACACAAAATTTAATATAAATTTTAATTAAAAGATCATTTTAAAAAGTAGAAGTCAGGACCTATGTTTTACCAAAAAAATGGGAAGTAACATTGGCAAGGATGTGAGGAAATTTGAACCCTTTTCCATTTCTGATGAGGCTTAAAACAGTACAACCACTGTATTGAGCGCTCCCCCAGCAAAATCTAATAAGCTACCATATAACTCAGCAATTCTGCTCTCAGGTATTTACTAGGTAGGTGTTTACCCAAAAGACTTGAAAGGAGTCAAGCAAACAGAAAACTACCCTCTAGTCTTCATTGCAACACTATTCACCTAGGCAAAAGGTAGAAAAACCCAAATGCATTCATCAGCAGCTGACTGGGTGAATAAAATATGATATACACATGCAGGAGACTATTCCTCTGCCAGATGGAGAAGCCTTACTGATACTTACAGTCATATGGATGAACCCTAAAAACTTTATGCTGAGTAAAGTAAGTTAATCAGAAAGGAGAAATATTGCATATGATCTCTTTAATACTAATTACCGTGAATAACAATCAGAGTTTAATAATGGTTCCCAGGGGCAGGGAGAATCGTTGTTTAGGACCTCTTTTGTTTTTGTGAATGGTAATGAGAAGTTTGAGAACAGATAATGGTGATGGTATAATTGGTGCCACTGAAATGTGCATGCGAAGCAATATTGGGTTGGCTAATATATTGTAGCTATTTCTACAAAAATAAAAGCATACACTTTTGCTAAGGTAAGATAAATGCACATGAAAGGAAAATAATGAGTCAAAAGTGCCATTTAGCCAGTTGCTTGATTGGGTGCTAGAGCTAGAAAATGCTGTAAGAAATGGTAGGATTTATGTAAAGATAGAAGGCATTCAAATCATGTTGGCTTGAACCAGATTGCAAATTCAAGGTCGCTCTGAAGAACTAGCTCATTCAACATATTGCCCAAGTAAAATACTAACCTCCTTTGAGCTTCTTGTTAATTACTTCCAGACTAGAGGGGGCAGGGTGGGTACTGAATTTTCTCATTTTCTTCATTATTCTGCCAGTGATTCCAATTATGTGCAGGAATGTACTTGTCTCTCAAGAATGGACATTCTTGGAGTCGATTTGAAAATTCAATCAGGAAGCTCATTTTTTTTCTCCTTTGCCTTTAGGTTATATGTGCTGATTATTGTAAAGGCAGTCTAAAAGTCTTATGGTTATAATTTATGATTCCCTTTTAAACTTTCTAAGATAGCAAACAAGCCATGAATTCTATGTGGGTAGTATTAACTGCTTCTAGAGATATTTACTATATGCTTGTTCTCTGTATATACTGTGCTATGTTTTTGAGTACTTTAAAAATAATAGACTATAAAGCGGCTTCTAAACCCCTTTTGAATTAAAAGTGAATTAATTTTCCAGTTGACTCTTTGAAGCCCCCTCACATGTGGTTCATGTTCAGAGAATTTCCACTTGACTTAGTAAGACAAGGTAAATAAATAAATTTTCTAGTGAGAATTAATGTATGATCACTGCCAAATACTACAGTTGATGGGTTCCTTT